AAAGATTTCAATAATTTAATTGCTTCACACACTATTCACATCTGCTTTAAGCTGAATATTTGTTCTTGATTTTTAATGTCAACAATGTAATTCTAAAATACCTATTTGTTTTGATACAGTATTAAGGTTACTTACCCAGAATTCCCATATCCCATTTGCCATCTCTTTTTACATTGTCAATGATCGCATCCAACGTGTCCATAAAGTGCTGAAATAGTTGGTTTTGTAGCTCAACTTCAAGTCCGAGAATCCGGTTCAAAAATACTGAAACCTCACTACAGCCTACAGGAGAAAGATATTTTGAGATAAATCTATATCTATAGGCTTAAACTGAATTGGACTGAATTTCTTTGGTGTGAAAAAAACCGAGGACAGCACACTGAAGTCCGAAAACATTTTTTCAGTTGCGTCTTTCCTTAATGTTTACATGGGTCATATTGCACACAGGTTTTGAAACTTGTATTTCAACCCAGCAGTTGATACACAAGAGCAACAGACAGAATTGAACCGGGTATCGATATTTTGTAAAGATCTCCATGGTTCAACGCACACACACAATGGCTGCCAACAGTTCAGCCGACTGAGCTAAGCTGCTCTCACAATTTTACAATTAAGCACAGATTAGATTTTCCTTTTATATGCATATGACCCCTGTCTGGACAGGCGAGAGTTAGCTGGTAGTGGTTTAAAGGGTAGCTCAGACTCTTAGGGGAAAATAAAATTACTGTGTAAGCTAGTCCACACCTCAAGCGCTTTGAGACTATATAAATCCAACCACATTACTTTATTATTAACATTACATGTGATAAAGATATTAAAAAATACATTTCACCTACCTTTTTCAACTGTATAAGTTGGTCGCCTATAGCTGCTCATTGTTGATAGCATTCCAACTCCAGCTAGGCCTTCTTTAACCTCTGTCAAACAAAATGGTAAATAAATCTTAATAACAACAAATAAAAACAAATAATAACAAACAACAAATAACAACAAATAACAACAAATATTAAAATCTATATTAAAACTTTGAGATACTCTCAAGACATCAGTTCGTCTCATAACACATGGTGTACCACAGACTTACACTATTGTTCATCCACAATGACCATGCAGATATTCAAACAATAATTTCATTTACATATTTGTGACCAGCTCTGGCAAAACTTGCTGTTTCTAATTTCACACAATCACCCAAAACATTCGAGAATCATAATACTGAACATTTTCAGGTTGTTGTATTTTATAGAAGACCATTCCTGCAAAATATCAATCACTAAATCTAACTGAAAAGTATATTAAAATTATTTTTAAAATACAAATCTTAATAATAAACTATTGATTTTGGAATCTTTGGAAACTGTTTTCTCAAAACCCACATGGCTGATATCCAATGAATTAAATACTGTATTTCATATCTTTTACTGCTAATACTCAACCAATTTCTATCAAATAAACACTGTTCTACAGAAGAATTCATGTAGAATCTAACAATACCCAAAACTCAGTTTTGAATTTTTCCTACAAACAGCTGGTTTTGCCAGAGCTGGTCAAAATTTGAGGTTTTAATATACAACTGAAAAGAAACCAAAATTACATTAAATACAATAAAAACTTAACTTACTTTCATGGAACTTATCATCTGGAAAAGGAATTAATCCCTCATCGTGTCCTACTATTTGCTTCAGAATTGTGTCAAGCGCTTGCCTACCATACTGATGATTTAAAACAAAAGATTAATTAATTATTTATTTAATTATTTATTTCCAACCACTAATGATATAACTCCACTTATAGACAATTATAAAAATACAAAATACAAAATCAAAATTGAACAACAAAACAATTACATACAATGAACAATAAGAAAATTAATTCATTTTTGGTGTTTATTATGACTTAACACATGTGCATGCGACAA